TTCACAGTTTCCTTGCTGATCCCCTGCTTGTGTCCCAGCGTTTTCAATGCTTTTGCCTTCTTAGCTGCTGAGATCTGAGAGATGAACTCTTCGTAGTCCTCATTAATGTCCTTGTTGACCTTATACTTGATGTCCATTTCACTCACTGCCTGTGCAAATGCCTCTTCCTTGAAGTGCCATGTGTGCTTTGGTTTCTGGCTTCTCTTAATTCAGTCTTCGTAGATATTGTCAACACATAGTTTTCAAACGCAACGTACGATGGACTGAGCCTGTGAAAACGATTCATTCTCTTATTGTCGCTACATTGTTAAAGATCCTTCTGGTATCTGTCATTACATAATCAATCTGATTCAGTGTGACTCCATCTGGGCTTTTCCACGTCCACTGCCAACACTTTTTTTTTAAATATTGTGTTCATTATGTGGAGATGGTTTGCCTCTAAGAATGCAACCAGACATGATCCATTATCATTTCTTAAACCTTTACCAAATTTTCCCACGTACTTTTCTTTCTCACTCTCCTTTCCACCTACTATTGCACTGAAGTCCCCTTGGATAATTGTATAGGTGGATTTCTTCTGCATCATCTCCTCCAGCTCTTGGTAGAAATGTTCCATTTCTTCCTCTTCCACTTGCTGCATGGGAGTATGCACCTGAATATTCCTAGTGCTGGAGTTTATAGTCTCAGCATTTGGCCTTGTATAAATACAGGACAATGAAAGCCACTCTGTGTTAGTCCCAGCCTCAAACTAAACTAAATCCAGATGTTTCTTGGCTCTTTGCATCCCCTCACCAGCCTCTTCTTCTGGTTGCTTATGGACAGAGTAACTCTTATGCGGGATTTTAGAGCATAAGTAGAATGATCTCCCGGGAGAAATAGTGGAGGCTCCCATTGCTTGGTATACATAACATTAAGCTATACTGTTGTAAACCTTCCTGCACGAGTGCCCAGTGATGGACTATATGGCCTAATTTTTCAATTCTCTGAGCTGGTCCTGGATGGTGTTAGAGACAGGGTAGCAAGCAACAGCACAGCTCATTGCAACTGACCAGCTGCCTGTCCAGCGGGCTATCCTGGTTCACTTGAGATAAAGATCGAGGATTTAGAAGCGGGAGTGTAACAAGAATCTATCTGGGGCCATGGGGCTAGGAGGGAGAGTCTGTCTCAGGTTAGGTGGGCTGTACAGGAATTGCATAGTCTGTCCAGGGGACCACAACATTTTGATTGCATGTTGGTTCCACTTACCATTGAAAATAATGGGAACTGCTGGGTGAGCACTTTGGAACGTCTGGCTACTTCATGTAGGCACCTAAAAGGAAGCAGAACTCTTTTGAAAATCTGAACTGAAAGCTTCATTACCCATCACCAATTCCTTGAGACGTCTAATATTCAGGTTTTTTTTACTTTGTTTGCTGTTTGCAGTGGGGAGTGTGAAAGCTTCAGAGAGAACAGTCATTATAAACAGAGAACAGTTTAGTTACCTCCCTCTGCTACCCATAATCTTCTGGCCTCTTCCCTGTTTGCAGGCTAATAGGATGGACAATACCATATCCTTTCTTCCTTCCATCTCCTTGGTACTTATAATTTACTGAAAGCAGTCACAAGGGCAATTTCTCTCCTGCCAAAGAAAGAGGATTAATGATTATCGTGGGGTCCAACAGCCCCCAGAAAGAATTTGCAGTGAATATATTTTCACAGCACAGTAGTTCCATGTGGTCTAAGCCTGAGGCTTTCTGCTCCTAAGAGTGTCTAGGGGAAAGTGTTGATATTGTTGATCGGGTTTGCTCCTTGCCATTATTAAATGCCATATGGTTTTGGTTGTATTTGCACTTGAGCTGTGCAGTCAGATCTTTGAGGGTTTGGTTAGGACATCAAGAACATCTCCTCCTCCAAAGCAGGGACATGGATAAACAAGGAACCAAAACCTTTAGAAACAATAACCCATTTTCTGGTCTGACAGGGGACCTGACATGGTCCTGCTGTACCCACCCCTACCCTGAGGAGCATGACTGAGGCTCCCTAGGACTGTGTTTTCTCTCATATATGATTTTTCCAGTTTTTTTATTATGATACCAGTTTGTACTTTTCTCTGTAGTATCCTGGTTAGATGCTGAAGGCTGCATATTTTTTTCCTTCTTTAGGGTGTTTGCTTGTAACTGGACCTTGAATTACAGCTCTACCTGCTACATTCACGTTTTTTTCCCCCCAGGCTTCTTCATTAACATATTAAACAAGTTCTGCCATTTTGACACTGAACTGGATAGAGTTGTACCCTGAATTTGGTCCAGAAGCCTAATAAAGAGCCAACTTAGCAACGGTTGAAATTGTGGCAGGGAAATTATGGTTTTAAAAGGTCCAGTTCAAGGGGTTCTGATGTCCTAGGGAACCTAGAAAAAGTCCACTTTTCAACCTGCCCCAAATCACAACAGTTACAAGCAACCTTTAACATTCTTCTGCCCTAAATGAGTGCCCGTTCTGCCTTTATGGCAAAGGCAAAGCCATCCCTGGTACCAAACTACTGGATCACCATGGATCTGAAAGAGGTTACTGCTCTTAACAGAAGCCTGGATGCCTGCATATAGGCTGCACAGGGCTACTACAGAACACTGTACGCCAAAGAAATATGTTAATTGCATTTAGCTAGTGGAATGATATCATGCAAGCTGTCATCATGCACTCAGCAACAGTTCTTCTGTATGGTTTTCCACAGTGCCTTTGGGTGCAAATTTGCAGCAATACTGCACACATAATGGGAAAATGAACGTCGGCCAGGAAATTCTATCTTATCTGAAGGTTGGCACTTCCTAAGAGTGCAACACCTGTTGAATTTGGCAAGAAACCAAAGCACAATCCACTGTTTTGTACCGTGGGAGCGCTCTGACCAGCAGCACTCAGTCAGTTCAATGTATCTGCATTATCTCACTCTAGTGAGTAGGCTCGTTACAAAGTGGTTTAATGAGCTACCCCCCAAAGACAAATAAAACAAATGCATTGACTGCCTAACTCTAGTGAGTATATAGTAAATTACTAGAACTATGCATTCAGTTATCAATAGTGATGGGAACAGTGCAAACACTGAAAAAAGACTGACTGACTGACAGATAAATAGGAGAGGCTTGTCCTGTGTCTGTCAGCCATATATTGCTTCCTTAATAAGTTTATTAATTTACTGCCCTTGAAAATCTGACCCAAAGTGACTTGCACAGTAAGTCTGTGTCAGACTTGTATCAGAATCCACAATCTCTTAGGTGTCATATCACTCAAACTCACTTCTCTTTCTATATTGTAATCAGTAATTCAGACTCATACATTTGTTGGGTTTTTTGGTCAATTGCTGCCTTACCTGGGATACATCAAGCTATACAGAGATCCTACTTCTGCTGAGAATATATGGCTCTCTGACTCTTCGCACAACAAAACACTGACCTGAGCATGAAGTTTAACTACTGAGATTTGTAAATATAATTTTAAAAGGTGGGTATCAGTCTCCTCAAAGATCACAGCCAATTCTGAATTCTAAACAAGGGAACATTACATTCCCGATGTTTTTCTCCCCAGTTTTACATCAGTCTAATTCCATTGACCTTGAGTGGAGTTGCTGCTTATTTACAACAGGAGAAAATCATAATCAAGCCTTCTATTTCCAATTCTTTTTTTTTAATGAATATGTGTCTGACTCTGCCATGGCTCACCGCTTACACCCATACAAAATGCTACTGTTCTGATTTGTCTAAAGGCAGCACCCAGGACTCCCAACTACTCAAACACCAGCTCAACCCTTTAGCTCAGTGGTTCCCAAACTGGGGTTCGTGAACCCTTGGGGGTTCACAAAATGTTACAGGGGGTTCTCAAGAAAAAATTTCCTAATGGCGGACAGAGCTGTCCCTAGGGACCCTGGGCAGCACGGGGCCAGCAGCCTGGAGCCCCTGGATTTCCAAGAGCTAAGCAGATCAAAGCAAGCATGTCTATCACACTGAGGAGATTTAAACTTCAAGACTCCTTATAAGAAATGGAAAGGGAGGTGGATATTTTTTGCTGTTTTTAAAATTAAATAGGCAGGTAGTATTGTTTTTAAAATTATTATGAAGTTTAAGCTTTGTTGTAACGTGCACTGTTTGCCTGGACTGCTCAAGACCTGAATGCTTGTGTAGGAGGAACTCTTTGAGTTGGCTTCTTAAATACCTTCATGCTGTTTCACATCTAATACTCCTTGATGAAACGTAGGAGCCTTGTCTTATAACAGGCTTATTCAAAGTGATACAAGCTATGAAAGTGAGATCTTGGACGAGTGTTGCTGTTTTCATAAGGTAATAAAAATACTGTAATGATAAATAATAATTAAAAATAAATAGTGTGTAATAAGCATGTCATAAAACACATTTTATATTTCCAAGATCCCTGCTTTCATAATTTATACTCAGGTAAAGGAGAAAACCCCTGGAAATAGTCATTTTTAGGAGGGGGGTTCGCGAGACTTGACATTTTATTGAAAGGGGTTCACAGGTTGTTAAAGTTTGGGAACCACTGCTCTAGCTCATGCTCCGACCTAAGGGGTGGGACCAGAATCTCGGAGTCCTGATTGTCAGTCCTCTGCCCCTGGCATGAGCATAGAACCCAGGAGTCCTGGCTCCCAGTCTCTGCGGTGGAAAATGGGACCCAGGAGTCCTGGCTCCCAGTCCCTCTGCGGTGGAAAATGGGACCCAGGAGTCTTGGCTCCCAGTCCCTCTGCGGTGGAAAATGGGACCCAGGAGTCCTGGCTCCCAGTCTCTGCGGTGGAAAATAGGACCCAGGAGTCCTGGTTCCCAGTCCCTCTGCGGTGGAAAATGGGACCCAGGAGTCCTGGTTCCCAGTCCCTCTGCGGTGGAAAATGGGACCCAGGAGTCCTGGTTCCCCACCCCGTGCTCTGTCCCTCAGGTCCCCCATGAAGGTACCCAGGAGTCCCCGTGCCGGGGCATGGCGGGGGGTGAACACGGAGCCCCCTTAAGGCTGCCATGGAGACCCGGGCAGGAGGCCGCGCAGCCCCGACTGGGCGCCGCCTCTCTTAAGGTGGCCGCCGGCGCGGCTCGGCAGTGACAGGGCGAGGGGGCGGCGCTACCGCCCGGCTGGCGGGAAGGGGAGGCGGCCGCGGCCGGCATGGAAGTGGAGATGGCGGAGGCCGAGAGGCCTGGGCCGCGGGACGGGGAGAAGCGGGGAGCGGCCGACGCCCCTGCGGCCTCCGGCAGCGGCCACTACGAGCTGCCCTGGTGAGAGCGGGGCCGGGGCTAGTGAAGGGGGAGAGCCGGGGGGGGGGGGAGACGGGACGGGGGA